ACTATTTCTGATACAGGCCAGGATGCCATTGGCCTTCTTGGCCGCCTGGGCACACTGCCAGCTCATGTTCAGCCGGCTGTCAACATGCACTCCATGCAAGAGGGCATACAATGGGGAAATTACATATGCCACACGGGGCTATAAAGGCTCTTAAGTAAGAACAGCCTTGGTTATGTACTTTCCCATTGAGAACAAGCTAAATGTAACCATTTCCCATCTCTGATTCTCCAAAACTTGTTATGCAGACAGTACACATTTAAGAAGAATGCCCATCTTGTCAAGTGGCATTAGTAACAAACTTACACATTATTTTGCCTTTAAATATATAAATATTTTTACAGCAACTCCAATACACTATAAAACAATCTATTAAAGCAATCATCATACGATTGTATGTTATGCATTGATGGATATTTTCCGATACAAGCAAAATTCTGACTTCTCTCACAGCACCCCACAAAAAAAGAAATAGCAAATAGCATAAAATGAATCTTGACTCTTTTTTCTTTCTAGGATTAAGGGTAGAAGTATTGGAATAGTATGACAGGAAGTTGCAGGAAGAAGAAGAAAGGAAAGACTTAGATTGAAACAGGAGCTAAGATGACTTGAAAGGCTTCAAACATTCCCTTTTAATTGAAATGTTCTGTAATTAAAGCCAATTTTGAAAATGGAGAGCATTATGGGTTTCACTCATTTTATTCATTCCTTCTTTTTCACTTAGGCAGAGATAGGTCTCTCCGTAGTACTGCCAAGAAATCCCAGACAAAAACCCAAACCTTTGATTACAACAAACACATCCAAAACTTGGCAAATGTTGCCCTTGATAGCTTACCTCTAAGGATAATCTTTAGAAATGTAGCTAAATTCTTTAGAGCCTCCTATTTGTAAGCCTCAACCCACTTACGACTGATTTAGTTATCGGAAGGAAGTAAACAAGAAGTCTCTTACAGTCTCTGCAGCTTACATCCTTCCTGACCTCCAGCAAGATGCACCTAGACTTCCCCACTGTAACATGGGATGAATGCCACTGGTCTCAGGCCATGGGCTGACATTTTTTTCTGTATCCAGCAGAGCTGACAGAAGCGATCACTGTATTCCTCCCCGTTACTTGTCATGTTCAAACCAGAGTTTAGCCCCGTTGAATGATGTGGGAAGACAGAACATTGTCTGTAAACAATCCGTAATTCTCTAGCTACAATAACCTGGTTAGTATACACAGTTTAAGCAGGTGGTCTGAGCTAGCGTCACCAACTCTGCCCAGCCATGCAGCAGAGCTGGGAATATGGGGATTTTTAGCAAAGATGAAATGACAAGTTATTTGGCATCTTTTTTTTTTTCTTTTACAGGCCTAGCCAGATGCAGAAAAGGACCCATGTCCACGGCTATATAAAACCGTGATGGCAGTTAGCTATTCAAGTCCCACCCTCAGGGAAAAAAGGTCCTGTGCATACCTCTGTTCCATTTCAACCTGCTTGGTTTAAAATTAAACAATTTATTTGCAACTACTATTCCCCAAAAGCACCTCAGTCTGGGGACTGGAACGCTCTCCCCTTCACACCGTGCTTCTCTAACAACTGATCAGACCCAGCAGTGACACATGTATACTGTGGAGATGACACTTCGTTAATTGGCCACGTTCAATATAAAGAAAATTAGCAGGATAAATAGATTAGTCTGGTTCAGTACAAGCCATGGGTGGCAGATGAAAAGAACATTGAACAGGGAAAATGAAGGAAACATGAAATAAGCAAATTACACAGACACAAGATTAGTTCAGGCTTTCTGTTGATCACAAGATTTGGATTTTATCACTCCAGATAAGACATCCCACACTGCCACCAATTCAAAGCCTATCTGCAGTGATTGCACTTTACGTACCAGTGCATATGGGCATGACTGCAGTTACAGTCTGCAAGTTACAGTTTTAATGTGCTTGATGTTACAAGCATACAGTAAGCATTTTAATATGGCCAGGTATTAAATCATACACCTTGGAAGAAACAAGACAGGCAATACTTATAGAAATGGAGCAGTGACTTGAAAAGCAGCAATTCTAAAAAATAATACAAGGGTCTTGGCTGAGAAGTCATCTAAACACGAGTTCCTAATGGTGAAAAGAGGATATGCCTAACAATGCATATAGTATTTCTTTTTTATTTGGTGCCGGTACGGTCCACATGCCCTTTGCTAACATTCACATTTCAAGTGGAATGTGAATAATCTTGAAAAGGTTTAGAGAAAACAGACACGTGAGAACACTTAAGGATTAGAAAGCACAAAGCTCAGTGGTTCAGCATATACAGGCTTTTCAGGAGATGACTATGGGTTACTTTGACCTCAACCTATATATTCCTACAGGAAAACATAACAGAAACATCGTCAGTCCAGTAGACAAACTCTAAAACTGATACTAAGACTGGAAATTACCATTGGGAAATCTGTACCAGAAACAATGCAAAGTCTTAAGGGAGAAGGCAACTATTCCAGGATTTTACCAGAGGAAATAGTGGGGTTTCCATCATGTGCTATTTAAAAATCAAGATTGGACGTTCTTTTCCAAAAAGCAGCGTTTTTGTCTTAATCAGCCCGTGAATATCCTGTGTGTCATACAGAATCTCAGACTAGGCAATCACAAATCTCCCCTCTGGGCATATAAGCTATTAATACATATTTCTGAATTCATGCAGACTGAATAAACCGAGAAAGATATATATGTCAGTGAAAAAAAACCCTGGTGACTAAGCAACTATCTTGTTCCTTAAATCCAACTAGTATTCAATAAGGTTGTTCTGCTGATATGCACTACAAATCAGGTCAGGAAGTATACAGAATTATTACGTGCAACCGTTCCTGAGAGACTGACAATGAGATCAGGAACTAAAAGTGCAAGAGCTTCAGCTAGAAAAGAGTCAAATGAAAGGATCCCAGCTCTGCTCCAGCATTCTGCAGACAGAAGAAGAGACTGCAGACGGGGGCATACTAAGTCGTTCTATACCATGAGCCAGATAGAATAACTGTCACAGTATTTACTACGATGCAAAGCAAAATTTCCTTTTAAGACACAGATTACATGGCTTAGTGCAATAAGCCCAAATATAAACCTGAGAGATCACAATTGAACATGCACAGCTAATATACATATTTTTCTCAGCACAGTAGCCAAGAAGCATTCAGCTCTACCTTTTTGCAACATTCTCCCATTTCTCTTAAGTTTTTGTTTTGTTTTGTGTCACAGATGGACCATTTACTTGTGGCTATCATGTTTCAAGGATTTGTTCTGTATAATCAGAGTTATCAGACTAAATGTTGCTTCTGTGGTTCAGAAAACTGTGCAAGACTGATTTTCTCAGGCCAATGAAGAGAAAAGGAAAGAAAATGTGAGACATGGCTACTCTCACACTGTTGTATCGTTTGGTCCTATGTATGGCACAGCACGTACTGATCAGTTCCCTTTTCAGTTGACAAGAGGCTTAAAATAAGGTCTTTTTAGGCAGGAGGGAAGGCATACAGAGTACATGGGCACACAGAGCTAGAGGTAACTTGGAAGAAATCCAGTTATTAGTAAGTAATCACTTTTCTTTGAAAACTGCATGAGAGACACTCCCAGGTGTGGCAGCCTGGAAGGAGCTCCAGAAAAGGACAGTGGACAAAAAGCAGAGACCACTGTGAGCTTAACAACACAATATACATTAACTTGAGAAAATATGACCAAACCTCGGTAGTGTTATTCTGCAGCTCTCATCTGCAGACAGGAGACAATGCAGTAACTGCAGTATTTAAGAAACAAAACTCTGATATTATTACAGGGAGATAAAATGAGGTTGAACACTTCTAGGGTCTTTATTGAAACACAATTTCCAGTTCAAAATGCAGCACATTTTTGGTTGTAGATATAAGAAATAATTGAAAGACACATTTGCTTATGACTGATTAAAGTTCACAAAGCCTCTGACACCTTCAATTTCCCATTACTTTTAACAACTTCTGCATTTTCCAAAATTATTGTGATATCAAGACTATAAAAATTTTTTATTCTTCAGAAAGCTGTACATAAATAGCAAAGGATCCACATCAATCTAGACAGAAGTTTCCTCATCAGAAAGACTTAAAAATGTTCAATTTAATTATTTAAATATGTTTGTTTTCAGAAAAAGAACTTAATAGATTTAGAGAGAAGGGATACTTTTAAATTTAGAGTTATGCTTTATTATATTGATCAAAATAAATTTGCTCAAGTATATGAGCATAGAAAACTCACCTTCCAGAAATTATCTACTTTGCCATAAACGAGAGATTGATTCTGCCTTTTGATGTCATTAATGTGTTTAATGTCACTGGAGTTCAGATGCTGCTCTACCACAAATCCAAGGAAGCTGTTATCCGGAGTGTGAGCTGTAAGAAACGGACCATATTCAAAATGTTTTAAAGGATCAGTTAATGTTACAAAAGTGTGAATGTTGTGAGAAAAGTAGGTATAAGGAACGTTATTATTCACCAGACCACTTTCTTCACATTCATACCGAGAGATACATTTGCTTGCTTTATTATTGAGAATAGTTCTTACTAATTTTAAGTCCTGCTGCATATGTCTACTGAAGTAAGCAGTTATTTTCTGGCTCGTTTCTGACAATAAAAATTCTGTAGCTGGACCGAGACCAATGATAATGATTTTTTGTGTGCTGAGCTTTATTTTATTATTAGAGAGAAGAGAACCAGAAGAAATGCAGCTTGACAATCTCAGAGATGCAATACCAACAATTTGGGAAAAAAAATGGATTTATGCTTGTTAACAAAGCTGTATGCTGCTCAATGTCATAAATAAATTTTAGTAAATTTCTTGGGTTCACCTCCTATATTGCACGAATACCAACCATCCAACTCACTGCATATTATGTATCCATGCTAATTAGTAGCCTACAAAGTCACACTATGCAGATCAGAATACAAATTTCACTGCCTAATTCACTCAGATTTATCTATCATAAAATACTGAAAGGTGACAACTGAAGCTGGCAAAATTATTGTCAATTCAGCTCCCAGACAAAAAAAATGCACGCAAAGGATATGCAATTCACTCTTAGTTTTCTATATTATTTTTAGCCTCTGTTGGTCTTTTTCAAGCAGTGACATCCAGCAATACCAGCCACTGTTCTCCTCCTATAAAGACACAGACTTATAGGCTCATTAAAACCAAGGTTTTTTTGTTGTTTTGTTTTTTCTTTTTCTTTTTGTAGACAGGGTTTTTAATTCCAGGGATGGACTCCAACATTCAAGGCTTCAGGTAAAAATCCATCCCTATTATATAGAAATTACTCCAATGTGGGATTTTTGCGCCTCTCTAAAAAGTGTCATAGCCTCACAAGTTTACATAGGAATAGGCTGCAATAAACACTAGGATCTCCTCTATAAGCCTCCCTTTTAAATTCTGGCACACAAGCTGACAATTTCTTGCTACGCATGCTTTGCAAAGTTAAAAAAAGCCCCAAACAAAAAAACCCAAACACCCAAAGACAATGCCCCAGGCACTTAGGACACATGCAATGCTAAACCTATGGTCAAAGTTCTTTAAAAAAAAAAAAATTCTACTGCAATTATGAGGTTTTGCTTTTTGATTCCTGAAAATCAGCCAACTGGATAATGCAGTAGAACAGAGAAACCATACACAGTGCACACTTCGCTCTGCCATTACATTTAGTCTTTCAAACGACAATTGCTCTTTTTCACAAAAAATGCCTCAGCAACAGTTAGGCACTCACTTAGACCCAAGGACATTTTAGAATTTAGCATAGCAAATGGCACATTGCAAATATGCCTGAAAAGGGGCATTTTTCCATCTTTTCATATTTTTTGATGAGAGATTGCATTCAAAGGAGAGGCAAGGCGGTACACACACAGAAGAAAAATAAACCTTTGTTAAAGTTAGCACTTAGATCTGGTGGAATTCAGTGCCTCAAACATCACTGACAGGAAGCACTTGGATTTTTAAGCAAGATCATGCAATGTTAAAATACCAGTGCTGTTATTTTGCATAAAAGAATTTAAATAAAAAACATAAAAACGGGAAAAAAACCCCTCATGCTTCTGGAAAGCTCAGAGAACAGTCAAGCATTTGGTAATATGCCACAGGTTTGAATAGGGCTTGCTTGTTACTCAGTAATAATTTTCTGCCCTTATAATCAGAGTTCTCAAAACATAATAGAGTCTGGGGATCTTGGGAAACTGTCCAGGGTTCCAACCTCTCCTAAAATCTTTACTGATGCATAACATGCACTTTTAATCACAACCCCATAAAGATGGTGCTATCTCTGGAGCAGAGAACTAAAAACAAAAATAAACTTTAAATATCACAGAATACTGACTCTTCTGCACCTAGTACAAAAAGCAGCAAAATCCTTGAATAATCTATAGCACTGAAATCACTTATGCTTCAGAATGAGTTTGCTTGCAATCTCTTTACCACTTTTCCTGCAAAGGAAAACCAGCAGTCACTTCCAGTAGTAAAAATTGGAAATGGTTATTTATTGAAATTCCAATATACTCATACTCTTCTGAAAATTCATTATGAAGTGATTTGGTCTGAACAAGAGACTGTAACAGTAGTCTATACTGCCACAACAGAGATGATCTCTACAGAGAAGATTTACTTTCTTCTGCATTTCATGGAGTGGCATTGAGGAGTGCACTCACACAGCTGTACCACAAGTATTCATGCAACTGTTTTCCTCAAGTGCATCATCACCCTTGGTGCTATCTTGAACAGGACCTCACACACAAATTTCCCAACAGCTGGGCTACTTAAATACAGCATGATTGAGCTTTTGGCTCCCTTCCCATTTAGGACATAAACCAATAAATATTAGCAAATCGCGTGGATATGGAGCAAGCTCTGCTTACTAATGTCCAGACACAAACTCTGCAACCACTTCCAAGTCACATTTCCCCACCACGTGTTTTGTTACTTGCTTTGAAACAACTGTGAATGCGGTCTTTTATCTTTTGAACAACCTTCACTTATATTTCTTTGGAAAAACTTGCATGGCAAATGTTGACAGACAAAATACGCCTCTCAAGAATTTTACAGGGCAACTGAAATCAAAAGCATGTCAACCAGACAGCAGCATGTATAGTTCTGCTATGAAAAGCAGAAAAGTTTGAAAGACTTGACTATGAAGTCTGGTGAGAGAGAACAGTGCATGCCCTGGCCTTAGTCTCAGACAGGGACCACCACCAAACTTTGGAGGTCAGGCTGGTCACTAGCAAGTGTTTCTTTACAGACTTGGGCTGAGAAGTTGCTGCACACAACAGCATGCATGCACCTTCCTCTTTCCTAAGCCTCACTTACCCTCAAGCTGGCAGTGGTGAATCTTTCTGCAACTTTGAGAGATAACACACTTGAACCACTACTACAACATGCAAGAGAAAGATCCTTTAATTCTAGAACCTAGTACCATAAAGTCAAAGACTACGTCTGGAGTAGGTCACTGTATTCATTTAATCTGATCCAATTTATACAGAATTTATATTTTTTTTCTGTTCTGTTTCTTTTTTAGGTTTTTTTGTTGTTGTTTTTAAGATATTTAACAATGCTCCAAAGATCTACAATGATGTTGAAATCTACTACTTGTTTTTCAATAGCTTTGTACACTGCCGGCAAAAAAATGTGAATCAGTTCACCTCAGGATGAATGCTCACAACATGGAAACAAGCTAGGTGAAAATTTTGAGAAATCCACAAAAAAAATAGAGACAAAAAATTGTTTTTGCTGAGTGCTAGTTTATTAATCTTGAATGCAAAGAAATGGCGAAGGAACTGTGCTACTCAGTTGTTGAGGGAAAAAAGCAGAAATGCAACAACATAGTTACACACTTCAGTTTAACATGATGAAATGCAAGAGTGCTGTTTATAAAAATGCAATCTAGCAAGTTCCTCAAAAACCTATCACTCCATAGCAGGATTTGAGAAGGCAAAACTAACAAAAACAAACTCACCGACACTTGAAGAAAAAGCCAATCACCACTTTCCACAAGTACTCTGAGAATACAGTTCCCTACCGTTATTTATATTAAGTTGATATTGTTATTTTCTGTTCGCTGGATGGAAGCGCGATAGAGCTTTTGCATAGTCTACAGACACTTATTGACACGATTCTGCCCATTTAGCAGCTGCATTTTATTAAACCATGAACTTGTCTTTCATAACACAAAAATTCTTCTCAATGACAGCATTTCTTTTTAAAGCTCCAAATTATTTATAAACACAGGGATACTTACGGAACATTGTGTAAAACTGCTGTGGATTAAGGTTCCACTTTCCCCATGGTGTCTTGTGGCCTTTAGACTGTGCATAATGGGCATGGTTAAACTCTGGTTCAGTTCCAAAGGAATCCAGAACTCTTAGCATACACCTAAAAGAAAAAAAAAAAATTACTGTATGCACACATGCATATGTGTATATACAAGCATGTGTGTATATATACATAGTTATGATAATTAAGATGATGTGTTTTGTTTTTGTTTGCAACTGTGGATGATTTATAAACTGAAGGTACATTTTAATTTCAAACATTTCTGTTCATATTATATTCACAAAGACATTACAATCAGCAAATTCAAGGATATATCAGACATTCAAATAGCAACCCTGGAGCTTATTTTGGGTTTCTTTATTCTTACAGAATGAAGTTATGCTTTAACATCCAAGTAGAGCTTATGGGAATACTACTGTGGTTACCTACATTCCTGAGGCTCTGAAGTAGAATTTAGGCAGAAGAAGAGAGGATTCTTCATCTATTTTCTAATGTTCTCACCCATTACTACAAAATCAACGCAACAGCCAAGGGCCACATGCCAAGAAGATCAGAGCAGAATAGTACTTTGTCTTTAGACAATTGTATTTAGTCTCCAGGTTCTGACTTTTGGGTCAATTACACCTACTGGAGAAGCACTAAACACAGTTTAATTTGCTGAACACTTGTGGTCAGACAGACCATTTATTTGTTTATGAAACATTTTGTCACAGTTTTTTGAAGAAACAATACAAAAGTCAAATGTCTGCAACAACCAGTCTACAACTGAGAGAAACCTTGGCATTGGATTACAAAGGGTCTGGGATGAGAGAATCACATTCAGTCCTTTATTTAAACTCCCATTAATCCCTTGGGGAAAAAAAAAAAAAATTACTTCATTTACGAGTGGCTCCTTTCAAAAAAGGGCCCATAGTACATGAAAAGCAGAAAAAGTCTCAGTATGAAATAGAGGGTACGCAGTCTAGCATACAGATTCATAGACGTTACGTTTCCAAAATACAGCCTGCCAAACCTTTGATATGGCTTGGACAGGAACTTTATAGCCGTCATACTGACCATTGGCTCCACTGCAAATGAACTGGATTATATGGCTCCAAAGCTGCTGACCCTGTCATTCTTCAGCCCTCCACAAACAAAATTTTCAGAAAAGACTTACATAGGATGTGTTCCTACCTCATGTGCCACTATGTTATAAAGACATGAACTCTTATCTGCACATTGCATCACTGGGCTTCCATGTGCTAAGGAAGAGACACAACCTCACGGGTGGCAGACAAGGGAGGTAGCTGCAAAAGTTACTATTAAAAATGGCTATATGTCCCAGTCTTCAACATTTCCCATGCTTCAAGCCCATATACATTCTGTTCAGTAAAACACCAGGATTTTGGCTTTAAAATGTGAAAGAATTTTGCCCTCAAAAGGTGAAAGAACTTAGCTCCAACCATTTTTCAGCTTTAAAAGATGAAAGAATTTAGTCCCAAAAATACATTTACATATTTCTTATATGTTGCTCCTTTCTCTAAAGTATCCATTAAATTGGGAAATAGAAAAAACGCCAGCAACTTTTAAAGTCACATATGAAATGCCACCTTTGTATTTGAAAGTCAAATAGAGCAAATTTACTTTTTTTTTAATCTTCACAGAGATCTTTCAAGCAAAAAGAAAGTCAAAATATACAACACATTATGATTCGCCAAACAACAAAGCTGACAGATCAGTTTCTGTGCAGTGTTTTATGTCAACTGTTCTCAACGAAAATATTTTACAATAGTGGCAATTATCTCTGCATTATACAAAATACTCCAGCAGGACGAAAACAACTTCTGCACTGATAAATCATTCAGTAATAAAAGCCCTCTTATTTCTTGGCAGGCCTTAAAACAAAATTCTTATCAAATATACAGCTTTTGGCTGGGTACTTGACTACAGGGGAATGAAAAATGGGTGAAAGCTACTGAAAAACTGCAACATTACTGGACTTTGTCAAATTATGTATGTAAGGAGCACTACATCGCATGCGATCATCTCAAAGTGCTTTGTTTCCTCTCTTTTTTCTGTATTCAGATGTAAGGTATGTACTGTTCTTAGGGACATTTGTAACTATGTCCAATACACACAGGGCCTCTGAAGCAGGACAGGACATGTGATGCAACGGAAACTAAGCTAAACCAGGAAGCAGGAAAAACCAAATATATTTATACGATTCAGGCATAAAGAAAGTCAGAACAAGAAGAGAAAAAGATCACAGCGGAAAGTACAAGTGTCTGCAGAAATAGTATAGGAGATCAAACGTTCAAGTGGTGAACCTAATCCCTGAAATGCAGCAGAAAAGAACTGGTAAAGTAAAGATTTAAAATTTAGAAATGAACGTAAATAATGCCAGCTACACTGAACTGATATTTTAACATAAGTAGGAGCGCCTCAATTGTCTCACCAAGTACTATATTCTCCATTTCTTTCACTCAGTGGTTTAAATCTCTTTCAATTGAACTATTTTTAAACAAAATTTTGATTTTACATATAATGTTTTAGCATTTCTAAAGTGAAATAATTCATTTTGAAAATGGCAAAGCAGTATTTTTTTTAAAGCAGGGATATATTTTAAATAAAAATGTTAATTTAGTGTGATTTTAACTTTAGTTTTTTACTCAGTTGCCCCCTCCTTCCTAAAGTGTCACCTAGCTTTAGCAGGAAGTTACAGAGAATTACAGCATGCCTTGGAACTGGTGTCAGACTGATTAGTCTGTTCAGTAACTAATTAAAAAGAGGACTGGTGGGTAGCAAACTGCATATAGAAACATCCATATAAAAGTCTTCTTCTAAGATATTAGAAGTGACAAGTTTGGGGCTCACAAAAAAAATTTAGACAAAAGTAATCCAGAATTATGACCATTTTTAAAGTGACTGGTTTTCCTTAAATATTGGGCATAAGCACAAACTTAACTGGGCTGTCCTAGTGGAAGTATTTATACACATTTATTCTTATCTTTCTCCCACCTGCAGTTATAATTTTACTCTACTTACATATACTTCATCTTTGTCTACACGAGCAATGCTGTCCAGCAGCACCCACCACTGTCAGCAACTAGTGCCTATGCCAGCATAAACTGTTAAATAAAGGGTACATATATGCCAGTGGCTGCAGACATCTTCTTGGGAGGCAGCTGGTCAAAACCCAACCAATTCTGGTTTGGAAGCTTTGTAGGCACATTGAGCTCAGGCACAGCAACGTGCCAGCACAGATACACAGACTCCAGACTGTTTGGGCTTATGTCCAGCCAGCTCTACCATGAGCAGCTCATATCTGCCTATAGAAATCCTTGCAGACACACACATTAACTTTCAGGCCACTCAGTACTTGCATTTAAAATGTAAAAACTTAGTCAGAAAATAACTCTTCCAAAGCAGATGTATTCTAGAGAACATGTAAGAAGCAGCAATGTTGCTCATTTTTCAGGATAGCTGTCATGTTAATTTATTTCAAGAATAAAGCCAGTTGGATTTTTGGCATATGGGAATGAGTCATTGCTAGAGAGACTGTAGAAAAATGAAAAAGTACCAGATTCTTATGTGCTGTATGGAGGATGCGGGTGCTAAGAAAGGCAATGAGCTGCACTCCTCAGACTATATTAAGCTACTAATTTTTATGTTGCTTCATTGCACATAAACTGCATTCAAATATCCAGACTTCAGAACTGAAAAATACAGTATGTCCAGGCATTCTTCTGCTTGAAGATAAGATGCACCCAATAATGAGACCTGTTTTGCTATATTCCTGCTATTTACAGCACCAATTATACCACAGATAAAGCACGTACTACCAAGATACATTGGTGCTACAGATCTCAGCTGTACAAAACAGTATTTCGGTTGTTCAGAAATACTCACCTCTCAGAGCAGCAGGGTCATTCTTTTGAGCTAGCAGGTCTAGAAAACTAATTTACAATTACCAAAAATTTCCTCAGGCCTCAAATTCACTCACCAAGATTATAAATGGCACTTTTATCAAGAGACTGTTCTGAGGGCATAGGTGTATTCTACCACTCTATTCCAATCTGAAGTGAATAAACAAGTTTTTATTTGTACTTGAGTCTGGTCTGCATAAACCATACTGAGCTGACCAGCACATCTGCTGAAAAACTATATGACATAAAGCAAAACACTTCTTTCAAGACAAAGAATTATTCCTACTGACATGAAATACAATTGAGTGAGAAAGCGAAGTTTATAAAGAACAAGGACTATAAGGCAGCTTTGTTTGTGATAATGTTTATTTTACTGGAATGAATTAAACAAAGACATGAAATTATGCTCTTACACTGGACGTACTAGTTTTAACTTTAAAGTATTTTGGTGACAAAATTTGAGGCAACTCATGATGCTGAGAGAAAAAAAAAATTATTGCAAGAGGATCCTCAAACAGGAGATACCTTGCATGAAGTTATGAATTTATTCTTCTGCTCTAATCAATTCTGGTAGTCTCTGCTAGACTCTGGACCCCTTTTTGTACACTGAACTTGAGGAACAGTATCAAGTAATTAGAGAGATTCCCAACAAATGCAACAAGTTTGATGAAAGGTCTACAAAACCTTAATTGTAAGTAATGATCAAAACCCGTAAATTCATTTTGGAAAAAAGCAAATTGGAGGAAAGCAGAATATAAGATATTCTAGAAGCTGGCAGAGAGGGGAAAGAAGTAATTTATTCCCCAGAACCATATTAGAATATGCGGTAACGGGCAGTTTGCTAGAAATCAGGCCAAGAAAAACACTTTAAAGAAAAGCTTAACGATATAAAAGAATGGCTGGGGCATCTTTGGAGTCTTCAGTAAAAGATCAGGCAAAAATCTCTCAAGAAGGACAAATACATTCTATCTACTTTTCTGCAAGGGTATGGACTAGATGAGGTCCTCTTCCATCCCATGAAATCCAATGTTGTAGAAGAGAGGCATTGAGTAATTCTTTTCTTCTTCAAAAACCTAATAAAAACTCCTATACTACCCTAAGGTATTTATTTAGAGTTAAATTTAATTCTACTCTCCTAAACCAGAAAAAGTCAGTCATTACCACAAATTAGGAATCAATGAAAAACAGATTGACAACTTAAGATTTAATGATTCATGAAATAAGCAAGAAAAATTGAAGAGCTAATCTAACAATCTCAATGTCACAGTGTATTTCCATATCTTCGTTACAGAATATACCAAGTAGGAAATTGAAAGCAAAAGGGAAGAAACATTTTAAATTTATAAGTACGGTTTTATATCCTGACCACAATACTGTATGTGATCACCTAGTGACAATTACATCTGGCAGACAGACAACCAACTGCAGCTCAGTAGAAAATGGGATTATCTTTATTAACAGGCTCCTAAAAAACAGGATATCTGTTTACTCCTCTGCTTCAAAAAAGAGATTAAGAGTAATCTAATCTGCAACGCTGATCACAGTACTCTCATTTAAAATTATGCTGAAAAGATCCAATGCTCTAGAAAATCCCGAGGTAGAGAGAAAACAATTTTTCTGCCTGCAATGAACACCTTTCAATACCTTCCTTAAAGTAGGGTTTACTGGACTTTACGGATCATGAAACACAGCTAATTCAATTAGGTATAGAAAAATCAAAGTCAGTAAATTAGATTTGGTTTTATTTCATGCTGATATGTATTCATACAACACATGGGATGCTTGCTGATTTAAAGTTATTGACAAAAAGAAACGTGGTTCTAAAACTGCAGACACTAAGAAGGCTGTACAAAGTAATTTCTTGTGACCGCCATCTTCCATTTCTAATGGAAAGATGTTTATAGATTACAGAAGCAACAACTGCAGTTACAAGCAGGTTTATTCTTTAGACCTACCCCTGAAGACAACTTTCTGCCCAGGATCTGAAGGGATGGAACAGAAAAAATTGCATTGCTGTTGTTGGGCAATACAATTAGAATAGACGAATCTCCACAATCATCAATCCAGTACAGCTACGAACACTGGCAAACAAAACATGCCTTTGGTATTCCAACTAAACAACAAAATACAATAACCTCTCAGCTCATCTACTAATTTACAGAACAAAAGGGGGGGGGTGTTTGTAAAGAAAGGAGGGAAAGAAAGGCAAAGATGATGACTCAACAAGATAATATAATTCATTAAGATTAAAAATGCTTGAATCCAAGAACCCCAAACTTGCTGGGGGGGATAAAGATGGTATGCAATAAACAGGTAATAGCCCCTTTATTCCTAAGAGTGGAAGACAATAGAGAACCACATTTTCACTTTTAAATAAATTCAAATTCATGTGGATGTACTCACCTTGGTATTCTGACATGTGTTATTCAACAAAAGTTCTTTAACAAAGCAGTTAAGAGGTCAAATAAGTGTTATACTTACTGGTAATGTACCCATGACGGACCAAGGGTTTTCTTAAACTGAGTGAGTCCCACAATATCAATGTAAATGAGTTCTACAACTTTATCCCCCTGGGTAGGGCAGCCAGATCTGTTACCTACAACCTTCTTCATAATCCTAAACAAAGAAAGAAGGAATATGGAAAAGTAGTACTTTCCAAATACCTTGAATAGATGCTCTAATACTATTTATACCAATAATTCCCCTTTCCAAAAAAGCCTTTTCCAAATCAGGAACCATGTAAGAACACTCAAATGCTAAAGATGCTCAGCATTTATTAAAGAACTGTTTATACATCAGTAAAGCGCTAATTTTCACTAAAAAACTCATCTAGTTTAAACAAGAGAGTAATATGGTTGGAATGTTTAAAAATAGTGAGCTTTGAAATTTTTTAAAATAATCTCTGACTTCTATTGACAGCTTTATAGTATAAGAGCTCTCTATAAAATGATGCTGTCATGTTTGTTATAAAAAAATGAAAGCTACAGAAAGTGTACATGCTCAAGCTTAAAACAGACGTTTTATGCCTAATGCTGAACTAGTATGCAAAGCAAGACAAAGATATGTGAGGTAGCAATTTGACCTAACATAAGCAATTAACTGCATCAAAAGTAATGTGTTTAAAGGATTTAAACCTTTATTTTAAAATCGGACACTAAGTGAAGAATAGCAGAAGCTGAAGAAGAGGACACAGAATTAGGCTAGTCCGTAACATTTCCTGTTGCAGCTGGTTAAAACACCTGGAATGTTAAAGAATAAGCTGCTTAGTTTGAATTTTACAACATTAATTTATGAAGTCTCAGGAGCCTGAAGCTACAATGAAAACACATTATCCTTTTCATAGCACGTATACTTAGCTCATGAAAATAATCTTATTGTCTGTTTAGTGAATTATCACTTTCATTTTATGCTTCAAGAAATTATATACTGTTAATAGAAGCTTCAAGAGTTTACAATTTTTTTTTTTTTATTCCAGTTTCAAAAGTGAAAGTAATCTCCTTACTCCTTGAGCTCTGCCAGTGAAGCTGAAATCCTGATGTCATGGCCCAGTAAGTAGAGAGATGTAATTAAATCACTCCACTGGACTAATTCACCTAGTGGGCCACCGCTAAATGCATTTTCTGCAATCTTGAATCCAGATTCTTTTGTCAAAAGCCCCAGATGAACAAGAATCTGGAAGGAAAGTCATATGTTAGTGTTATCGACATTAAATATGCAACTAGTATACCTCACAGCATTTTTTATTTCTCTTAAATTCCAACTATGGCCAAAAAATCAACTAAAGAAATCCAATACTCCCACCCTTTAATTTTGTAATGGATCTCTAGAACAGTAATTGTAAGAATATTACCGCATTGTTTTGTACTATATTCTGCCACCAGATCAGTAATTAAACAAACCCTCAAAATTAGTCTTATTCACAAAATAATCTGTAATTCTGCACAGAAAGTTGTGGCTCATATTAACTTATTTTGACTGAATAACCACTTATATTCTCAAGTAGGATACACTTGCTTATGCAAGACAGTATAGTTAAGGAAGGGTATGCTGTTGTGAACAAGCCATTAAGAACTTGGAAAGACTGTGTAAGAGTAGCAGGATGCTTTCCCAACCTCTCCTCTCCATTGCCACTGGAGGAGAGTTTTCTCTGTAGTTCCTTGAAATCTGTGCTTTCCTTTCTAACGAAGCACAGAAGTTGAGTTCCAAACACTTCGCAAAATACCTGGACTGTTATTTGAGTGTGGGTACATACAGTGCCAAGCATAAAAACTCCCAAACACCCAAAACCCTTTTCCCGCACTCTTTAAAACGAAGCAACGTTCAAAAAAACATTCTGTTCTAATCTCTTGCAGCTCCCAGAACTGAACTGGACACATTAAAATGAAATCACCACGTTTTACAGAGCAACCTCAAAGGACTTTTAAAAGCAAAGAATAAGCACTAGAGCATCCCATCAAAACTGCCTATGCAGGACAGTACTGCTTCTGTTTATTCTTGAGTTTATGTATTCTCAGGTGTTATATTTCTTTAATAAACCAGGCTGGAGGGCTGCTTGAAAGAGAAGGGTTGCTGCTCCTTGACAGAGGGTGAGCCTACTCAAGGGCTGTATTATGTGACAAACATTAGAGCCGCAACATGGAGCCTACACCTCATGTGAGGACTGAGAATCTCAAGCAAGGATCTGAGCTGGAGCCAGCCACGCTTAAGAGTGGGTAGAAACATGACCGTGCATGGCCCGCTGTCAATCAGGACTGGCTCCAGTAAGAATAAGGCAGGAAGGGAAACCGTTGTCTTTACAGCTTTTGGCTTTATCTTAACTAGCTGAGGTAATTTAAAAAATAAATAAATAAATAAATAAATAACTTTTTACTTCAAGAATTTCATGGTTTTTAAATTGAACTCATTACAGGAGATCTAAACTGATCCAATCCAAAGTTGTGGTCAACTTTAAGTCTACTCAAATCCAAAACAGAAATAGGCCATTTAAAGTCTCAATTTTGGACAAAGATGTACAATTGTTGTTTTCTACAACTACGTAAAACACTCCAATGTCATCAGCTTGCAGTAAATTTACAGTTTCTCCCTTTAGAAACTTCTACATAGTCTCTATTTTATCCAAAATTGAAGAGGTTAGAAAACTTACTCAAAGATTGACACATGGAAAGTATGCAAATACCCACTGTAACAGTAATTTCAAACAGCAAAATGCTTCTTGAAAAGAGGCACAAGTATAAACACGAGCCTTTTAGACGTATTTGGTATTTCCACTCTGACATTACTTCTGGAACAAGAAGCTTAAAAGAGCCTATATGACTGCAAGTGGCAGGAATGAAAAATGTTTTCATTTACCTTTTTTCGTTTTCTCTTCTCCAAATTTTGTTTTTCTGCAAGTGATTTAATTGCTTCGATCCAGGTATCAGCCATTCGTCTGATGCGTAACATCATCCACCTGAATTCCTCGTGTCTTGACATCATTTTGTAGAGATTATCAAAGTTGATACGAATTTCAGCCTTCAATTAAAGCATTTAAAAAAACCCCCATAACATTATTCTTCAAATAGTGTATTTTCCAGAAGTGAAAAAACTCAAATGTGAACTCTGTGCTTTACATTCCTCATTTAAAAAAAAAAGAAAAAGAAAAAAGATACACTCCTAACACTAAAGTCGAGATTTTTGTTCAAATATTTAAGATACCTTTAAACAGACATTTCTAAGCCACATAAATTACTGTTATTTTTATTAGTAGTATTTGGTAACCCCAGAATACGTTTGCAATGTTTCAAAATGTATTTATTTCTGCAATATAAGATTTGGTTTTGTTCATGTGCTTCAAAATGAGGTTAAAGTATCTCTAAAACACAATATAAAATCAGAACAGTATGCTGAAGATTCATGTATATCATGAATTTTCCAAATACAAGGAAGTCTCCTATTATACCATGAAGGAAGAAACATTACTAGAGTATAAATTTTAAAGGAAATATTAATTTTAAAGCTAGATTGTTCTAAGAACAATTGGTTTTACAAAATGAGACAGCCTATATCTAAATTATGTAAGCAATGTTCATATACAGCCCAGCAATTATCTTAAAATACCTAAGTGCTACATAACTAGGTTATAACAGTTTCGAAACAACTCTGCATGCTGTAAAGTTTTTAAAGGAAAAAAATTAGGAGTAATCAAAATGTTACTACAAAACTGGAATGTATATAAGCCTCTTCTGTTAAGGCATTTTTATATATAAGGCCCAGATCTATGGGACAATAAAAATGGACAGTTTCACATATAGTCACTTAACACTGGTGAACAGTCTATGGATTTGTAATTTTTCTCAGTATCTGTGTACAATATTTCATAAATTTAAACACAAAAATGTTTTTAATGGAAATCTACCACCAAGACTGCAGTGCGAGACAACGACTGGAGAAAATACATGATGAGCTACATATATACAGTCAAGGATGTTTCCCTTCAGTTTTGAGGAGCTGAGGAATAAAAATGGTAAATTCTAGTCTTATTAGCATCTATGTGGCACAGGATTCCAGGATCTTTTACATGACTCACAATTACTGAATTATTTCTCATGTCCTAACGTTCTTACCACTGTTTTTTGATCAGTTTCTTCATTAGGATTTTTTGCTCTCCAAGGTAAACGAGGACACCAATTTTCAACCTGTAAAACAATCACATGAAAAGGAATCATTCTATTCTACTTTCAGCTGGTCTACCAAAGTCTCTCTCCGCCTTTATATTACAGCTTTCTTTGGCTTAAATAAGGCATCAGCTCATTAGTAAGCCACTGCAAGGTAAAACTGCTTTTTGCAAGAAAAGCTTAAGAAGACTTTGCAATTCAATACTATTTTAACCTTGCAAATTTGGAACCAAAAGTTGCATTTAGATATTCATTCATGATAATGAATACAGGATATAAACCCCTTTCAAGACAGAGGTCAGCTGTTAAATGCTCTAAACAATGTTTCTCTGAGCAGTTCCTAAATGTTCTCAAAAAGCACTGAGTTTTTTATGCTTCTAGCCCTTTAAAAATACGTATTTTGGAACATTTCCCATCGCCCTAGAATATCTTTATAAAAAGGCAAAGCCTGATAAAACCCAAGGATCAAAGTTCCACCTTGTAGCAACCTAGATAAAAAGTTGAAAGAAGAATAAAACCAAACCCACCCTATTTGAAGGGTATAAGTAACATAATTATAACATAAGTAACAACATCCACAAATACTAATAGCTGTAATTCTTAGAGAAATAATCAGTGCAAATGCAATACTTCTACTGTTGTCTACTAGGAAAAAAAAAAAAAGTACAACAGCTAGTAGTTAGGGAAGAAACAGCTAATGGATGCAAGTCACTGAAAGCTCCTGTGCTCTTCCCCTAGGGATCTTGCTTGTCTTGTAGAATTTTTATTATTCACGTGCCTTAAGAAATTAGCCCGTTCACTTTGGGGAAGAAGAAATCTCACTGTTGGAGGCAAAACCATGAAAACAGAAACATAACTGTACTGTTCGGGAGGTTATGCAAAAATTTATAGGCCAGCTAAGATACCCCATCACTACCGATTAAAAGTTCACAACTCCCAGAGAATTAGAAGTCAGAGTTGCTCTTATGGTTCCTCCAGCCACAGAGCTGTCAAAACACAATTTTACCTTAATCATGCCACAGTAAGCCTGAAGCATTAAAGATTAGAGCTTAAGATCATACCAAATGATTGCCTAGATGACAAATCACATGAAAATAAATTAACAGACATCATAACCTCATTAAAGAGAAGAAACGTATGAAGCTTAGGTTCCTCAGACAGATTATATAGAAGCATTAATTTGAATGCTATGACTTAATCTATTCAACGTATTTAATACAACATTTGAAAGCAGTGACTTGATCAACCTTGTTTGAAAACTTCTGATTCTTCAGTGGTCTCCAACTCTGGAAACATACTAGAAATTGTAGCAATTAACAATCCTAACTTTTACTAACATAAGTTGTGGAATCACTGGTAGAAAAGAGTTGCAAGCTACATATTACAAATCGTGCACAGTCCCAAACTTTTTTTTTTTTTAATAGTACAAATAATTTTGAATTATTCCTAGCATTAAGACTGATCTACATTAAGATATGACATTTCAAGGACTACTGTACGTGCCCATTTTCTTGCTCCACGTATTTCACATCACACCATCAGGCATCCTAAAGGAATTGAAGATTTTTCAGAGCTGCCAAGGACAGTTAGCAGCATGCCTCACTGACTGAAACACAAATACAGCTCTTCTGTGCTTTTAGAAATATTCCCTCTACTCTAAATTAAATTACAGCAATTCTAATCACCAATAAACAAGGATTAGATTCAAAGTAATATCAACGTATGCAGTTGGTCTAGCATTTGTTTTTCCTTATTGATATTCAGTCAATTCCTCTTTTCATTGGAAAGATCAGCTTAATTCACTGGAGGATTTTTAAATGCATACTCTTCAAAGTATGTCAGTTGTTTTTTTTATTTTCAGGACTGATAAATGCACTGGGAAGAATGCATAGGCATTCTCTTATAGAAAAAGGAAAGAATTCTGCTCATTTTTATGAGCCAATGGCTCACAAAGAGTTGTTAGATGGGGGGATAATAATTAACAAGAGCACCAAGAAAGCAAAGATAAAGCAAATGAATCTGACATACCATGGGAAGGGGAAAGAAGAAAAAACCTTATTAATTTAATGTATTGACTCAAGGGAAAGTGGGGATGGAGAGGCAAAATACTAACTGACAAACCAGCCAAACTAGGATTACTTTAATAGTGAATTTCAGATATTCTTGGGCAAAAAAGATCAGGCTTATACATGCCCGTAAGATGGAAACATTATGATAGCAAAACCAGCCAAAATGCTAATATAAATTCTGTTGTTCAGAACATGAGTTAATTTTACAAGTAATTAAAGAATCTACTGGAATTAGTAAGTCATGGTTCCAAGAGAAACTGAGAAGAAAATCAGAATACGATTAGAGTGATGGCAGAGGGCAGAACACTCAAACATTCAACACTGAAGCTCATGCACCAGAAGTCGCTTCTAGATCATAGTAGATATTATCAGGTAGATACAGAGCGAAGAAAGCAAAAGTGAAAAACTACAGCAGTGAAGTCTACACAAGTCGTAACATCTGTATTTAGAGGTGCCTAGTACTCAAGAAATATCACACTTCCAACAAAACCAAGGTTTTCAGAAGGAACGGAGATACTTCTCTCTATCTCTGGTTTTTGCTTCCCTGTTCAGTGAGAGCTACAGGTGATCAACAGTCTATATACACTTCGGTAAAAGGGAGAGGGATTTCAACCTACGCAACTACACAAGGTATCGAAGACTTCAGAGACAGCCTTTATAGAACAATCGGAAAAGGAAACTATAGCACTGACAGGCTTCTACTACAGAATTAAAAAGCCTGCTGATTTGATGATACTTACACAAGATATCTAGCAGGCTGCTAAGTTTTATTGCTGCTTTCCTCAAAACCCACAGCAATTGCATTTTTATACGTATTTCAAGTAAAAAGCTTCCAGTTAACTGTGTTTTTGCATTGCACTATGTAAAATTAAGGTCTACAGCACTACAAAGCCTCAGTAAAGACCGCTAAAAAATCCTGTAAAGAAATAGTACCCAATATTTTGTGTCAGAATTAAAAGCAACGGGTTGCACTAACCCAGATAAGTAGCAAAATGAACTTTGTGTTCTTCTCGTTAGCCCCATGTAATGATACACAATAGAGCAGAATACATACTACTTCTGTTGCATCATTTCTGAAATATGTGTAAAAATAGTGCAAATAACCACACTGTTGGCCTTTTTCAAGATAACCACTTTCTGCTCTTTCATTACTTGGCCTTCCTCTCTTGCCCAGTGTACCAGTACTCAATTCAAACTGAGCACTTAAGCATTTCCTGTCCAGAACATGCAATTTCTCACCGTTAAGCCTAGGAACTACTTCTAATTGCAGCTCTCAGCAGGACCTACAGTTTCATGAGAACTTCAGATGACCTAGAAAGTGGATGGGTGGGGGTTTTTGTTTGTTTGTTTTTTAAAGAACCAAGTATTGCCACTTCGGCTAATTGCTTCAGGGTTTCTCATACAGAATACCACAAGGATGCCTATAACTAAATATGAAAGCTAAGTGACTAAGTCATTTTCCTGGTTGCCTTGCATGACCCAAAGATGGCCCACAACAGTAACTCTAGTTGTACTCATCTCTGAACAAGTCCTGCAACTGTTCTTCTCAGATTCAGGCTATTAACCACTGCCATGGGAACTTCTTTGAAAACAAAAGTGGGTGCTATAGTCTTTGAAAAATGCAGAAGGATGCTCATGAAATGATCTTTTTTCCAGCAAATACCAGTAAAAACTTAATCCATTTTTCTCAGACTTATTGATGTAAGGTAAGTACAAGTCGGGTTTTATTTCAGTGAGTACTCACTTCCAACTATAGATGTGGGAGGAAAAAAAAAGGTAAGGAATGTCTAGAACTGCTCAGATTGACTTGAGTGGAAGCCTTCAATCTCTTTCGTCTTGCATGACAAACAAGCACCAACAGTGATGCAAGCTCTGTCAAAAGACCTGGTGCCCGGAATGGTGCCTTTCTCCCCTTGCTCCCAAATTGCCTAAAGAAAGCCTATCAGCTTTCATTCAAACTACTAGGGACGAGACAGAGATAGGGCAGGGAATGTGAGGGGAAGAATTAGAGACATTGTTTTGCAACACATTTTCTGGAAGCTCCTAATACAGAACGGGGGGGGGGGGTGCAGGACGGGACCTGCTTTGGTTGACTTTGTGTCATACAGCCTAACTCATAAGAAAAAATATTGCAGAAAATGCAACAGCATTAAAGCGTAACTTGTCCTGGGCCAGGAATATTTGTGATTAAATAACATTTACAATGGGAAAAAAGTGTGTGTGTGTGTATACACAGAAATGTGCGTATAGATGTGTATGTATATGATTATATCAGGAAGATGATACAGCACGTGCTAAGGCTGCAGTATGCAGTTACAAATCTGGTATTGTTCCATACACACACCCCTTTTCTCTGTCATTGGCAATGATGACAGAAAGGATTATGATATCACTAAAGTGGATCTAGATGAAATCTCCATCAGAAATGCTCAAATATTTCAGCTTTGTATTTGTTTACGTACAGAATACCCACATGCAACAAGCCCGAAGTTTGAGCAAGGGGAAGGAGGGCAGCAGCGTTCATTTGGATGCTGCTCTTTGACTTGTTTATGTGTTTTATTTGGTCATTTAAGACAAAACACAGAAGTTGCCTCCAAAGAAGGAACCAGAACTCCTCTTCCCCCTTTCCAGGACAACCTTCCTCTCACTGGGTTAGCATCACTTCTTTCTCTAGCTTATTCTCTCCATAGCAACCAACTGTTACACTGTCATGTACATTATTTAATAGGAAGGATGTGATATCAGACTGTAGATTAGCAGTGAAAGAGGATTGTTGGAAAGCAGCAACTGCAGATTTGAAGACTGATCATTTTTTAGATGAGTGATATAAATGCTAAGCTATTATTCAAAACACACTATATTTATCTTTCTACTGTCATATTTTTGAATAAGACCAGCTGTGCCTCCTTGTACCTAGTGTTGAATTCAATGCCAATCAAATGCATTAGGTAG